GGGAACCGGTCATACGGTGTTTGCGGTGCGGACAATACGGTCCCTCCGAATAATCGGCGGGAGATAGTAAATAAAGAGTAAATAACAATATGCACATTACTCACAGCGGGGTTTGAGCAGAGAGTTTGCTCGGAATGAAGCGCAGGCGCCTCGTCGTTGATGTCATCATGCGTTCCGGAGCCGATGGAGGGCGCCCCTTCGACGGGTGCTGGAGCAAGTGCCTCCTCACGGAGGTGTAGTATGCCGAGCCGGTCAGCGACAAAGTCCAGGCTTCCAAAGAGGAAGGCCTGGGATGGCTTGAAGATGGGCGGAACCCACATCCCAACAGGTGGGAGTACGGGAAACTCCAGTGAGCCAAGGCGAGTCGTATCGCTTGAGCCTGCCACGGCGAAGGTGGTGGAAAAGTGAGTCATCCGATGACCAAAAAGTATTGAATGTACAGCGTCTTCCCCACGGACGGTGCCAACTGTCGGTGCAGAAAGTGACCAACACGTAAATATTTGTAGTTTTGCCGTACGTTGTGATCGGAGGTGGCCTAGCACTCAATGATACAGGGTTTATACTGGTTCAGGCAACGCGCCCTACATCCAGTTTGAGTTGGTCGGTGACTTTATTCCTGAGCTCAGGTGCTCGAAGTTTGCAGTGGGGTTACAAACGAGAAGGAGAAAGATGATGGGTACAAGAGGTCCGGTCGGACTCTGGTCTGAAGGGCTGAGAGTGACGGGAGCCCCGCTATGTGCTAAGTGTTCGAGCGTGTGCTTGTAGTTTGAACCTGGTGGTTCTGTTGTTGTGCTCTAGTGAACTTGATCGATATGAATGAACTTGTCTTTTGGGAGAGAGCGCATCTCCTTTTATAGATGAAGGGGATGGCCTGACAAGTGAGAGGTAGAGAGTACGTACGTTGCTAAGTCTTGCTGTCCACACCGGCTGGTACAAGATGATGGTAGGCGTCCACAATACTGTTTAATGTCAGATGCACGTGGGAGGTTGCGTTGTCTTCTTCAGGTATGGCAGACGTCGGTGTCTGCCATACTGTTGATATCCAGAGGCATACAAGGGGTTTTACCATGTTCGTTTAGCACGGTAAATGCCGACGCCCACAACACTGTTGATGCCTCAGAGGCACGTGGGGGGGGGCTTACCGTATTTGTCTGGTATGGGAGTTGATGGCGCCCACAACACTGTAGGGGAAAATGTCGGCGCTTACAACACTGCCTCAGTTCTGTCATGCCAGGGAGGTCGCAGGGTACTGTTCTGCAGGTGTTCAGGGTACGTTCCTTGGTATTGCGGTTGACTTGAGTGCCCTGTTTTACTTTCTCCGTCCGTTTCCTAGTCCTTACTGAGCGGGCGTCCCCGGACGGTTGGTCCCAGTCGGCTCTGATTGCGCTAGTTGGAGAAGAGCAGTGGGCAGGGATTTGGTGCATCCCCAGTCGGAGATGCGGGTCGAAGTCGGAAGCGATGCTTTGGCCAGGCCTTCCGGTCGGAGAGGCCGTCCGGAGGTGGGCTGGAGACCGAAGCGAGCGCTCCGGTCGGAGAGGCGGGCTGGAGTCGGAAGCGGGCGCCGTTCCTCCTCGGCCATGCCTTCCGGTCGGAGATTGGATCGCCCTTCTGGCCTGTCGTTTTAGATACTTGGGCCGGCCCAAGAGTTGTGCGTTGCTTCGCAACGTGGTCTGCTGGGCCGAGCCTTTGCTGGGAAGCCGGTCCATGAGGGACCCCGGGTTTATTAAACCCGACAGATACATTAGCTGGCATAAACATTTAAAAATTGCAAAATTCTCAAAAAACTTGAGGCCCCCCCACCCTATTTCAGGAGGCTGTTTATTGGCTGTTGTCATGAGTCATTCTCAATGTCATCAGACATGTAGTTGTGGAAGTTTGCAGGAATCTTGAACGACATCTATGGGGTTTTTCTGCAAGCATAGTTTTTAAGGTGGTAAGGCGAGGTGTGGCGCTCCACCCCCTTCCAGACGCCTAGGCGAATTAGGCGCGCGGCAAGACGACGCCATACACATACCAATGAATGACAAGGCGCGTTTCCGCGCTCGCCTAGACGCGCCCAGGCGCAAGGCAGAGCCTTCCCGCGGGGCCTAGGGGGTGAGGCGCACCTCTAGGCGTTGGGCGCGCCTCCGCGGCGCCTGGGCGGTGAGTAGGCGGAGGAGGCGGCGCCTAGGCGGCGGGCCTTGCTGCGTTTGGCGGCGGCGGGAGCAGGCGGAGGCTGTGTGCAAGCCGAGAAGCCGGGTGCGCGGGAAAGGAAGCGCCCGCACGGGAAGAAAAGAGCACGGGTGGTAGAGAGGATTAAAGAGAGAGAGAGAGAGACACACACAGTGAGAGAGTCAAGACCCGAGCTCGCTCGCCGGCCCCTTGCCTCCGACCCGAGCTCGCTCGCCGGCCATCTTCTCCGTCCGTGCAGGCCTCCCCGTCGGCCGCTGGCCCCGTCCGCCGGCCCGCCGCCGCCCCTAGAGCTCCCGTGCGGCCCCTCCTCGCCGGGCCGCCACCGGTGGTGACCTTCTCCCTACCCCTGGTCCCGCCGCTCGGGAACCCCAAAGGTAAGGTGAGGGGCGTGAGGTCCGCCCCCCCCTCCTCTCTCTCTCTCTCTGCTTTCCGGCTGTCTTTGTCTTCTTGCTGTGTTTCGTAGTACTAGTAGTTAACTGGGTTGCAGCCAAGTTTTTTCTTCAACACAGCCAAGTTTTTTCATAAACTGGAGCACTGATGTTGTTTTACTTGTATATTCTGTATAAATGACGAGAGTGTTTAGCTGAACTTGGTGTGCTACCATGACCTGGTTATCAATCTTAGGAGTACAAGTTATCTTCCTTCCTTTTTTTTCCCCCTGTTTTCCCTCTACATGTATACAAGATTAACAATGTACATTCTTTGATTTTTTTGCATCAGCTTTACAATATACTATTAGCCCAGGTGTATATGTAATATGTTATCAGACCTATATTTTGATCTCTTACCTGTCTTGCTTGGTTCTTACATGTGGTTGCCTAATAATTAAAATATGCTGAGATACAAAAAATGTCAAAACGCCTAGAAAACGCCCAGGACTGCCTAGGCGCGCCTAGGCGTTAGGCGATGGATCACCGCCTAGCGCCTAAAAAAACATTGACACATACTGTTGTTGCCTCAGAGGCACATATAACAATGACACATATCAATAAATTAACCTCTCTTATGTAGTAAAGTTCAGACGTTAGAGAGACAAATAGTCAAGCATATATTAATTATTCACAGCAATTAGGCAACCACATCAGAAGAGCACATCTATGAGCTATCCATTCCAACTATCAAACTGTAACACATAAATAGGAGATACGAGCAGAGCAGAGAAATCAAAGTAGAGCACAGGAAGGAGCAGAGCATGGGAACGAGGCGGAGGAAGAGCAGAGGAAGAAGGGGGACGAAGAGGAGAGCAGCAGAGGAAAGAGGAGGAGAGGACGTAACTGCCAATCGCGTGGTCGCAAAGCAGAGTCGCGGTTGGGGACGGGGCTGGAGTCGGTCAAGTGATCTGTTGCTGACATGTGGGCCCATCTGGTGACGAATTCAAGTTGTCATGGAAATTGTTGTCTAAATTTGTGAGAAGAAAACCCAAATAGTGTCGGGTTTGTCAAATGGGCTCAAGAAATTGTAGTTTGTTTGTGACAATTTAGACCAAAATTATGGTGGGTGTCCAAAATTTACCCGTTTCTGTACTTCTTTTTTGGTTTTCTGAGTTAGTCTTTGATAAAGGTACCTTGCTGTTGCAGGTACCCTTCTGCTTGCGCAAAGTTCACATGGGGACTGTCATCGGTTAATAGAAGGAGCTCAAGACAAAACAGAGATTTTGTTGCATGGAGCTGTGAACCATACCCTTATTTAGGGACAGTGACCTTCTTTCTTTCTCTTAGACGCAACCGGTGTTGCTTTCTGTTTCTCCCCTGTTGTATATTTGCAAAATAAGGGACGTTCTTGAAGGTCTTGTAAATGTACAAATGAAATGTTGTGAAATGCTGCCGAATTCAACGTAAAAGAGAGATGTATTATCGTTTCATTGTACATTGGTTTATGGACTTGTTTGGTTATTTGCATTATCCTATATCCAAGCAATGCAGTTTGCCTATATTTGGTTGCCCACAGAAGGCCAGAAGCTAAGTGCTTAAAGCAGGTAAAATGCAGCATTGGCTAATACATCAGAGGAGTTAATCGTATTAAGTAATGTAGATTTGCACAAGCTAATGGAGCACGTAAAAACAAAATACTCTCATCTCCCTAACTTGTACTGAAAACATGAGATCTCTATAACATGGAGATGACTGCATATAAATAACCAAACACAACACAATCATACTAAACACAGTTTAGTTTGGATTGTGCTGCATAAGGTCTATAAACTTAAGGTTAATGCAAACTAGTAACCTATAGATATTCCAAGTCACACCTATTGATTATTTCAAGAGGATCCATTTTTCTTGATGGATTCATTGGCGATCATTTGCATGGCAGGATATTCTGTTCTCAATTCTCATATGGAATTTGATGAGCAACATTTCATTAGATACACATTTTCTCTTGGAGAAATAGAGTGAAGAGTTTAAAACGTTGCTACTTGCTAGGCTTTGTTGCGAATATTTGCAGTACATTTTGCACTAGCTATGGATGCACCGTTCTATATATATCGCCACTGTTTATATATTATACTGCCTTTTGGAAGGAACTCAAGTATATTAAGAAGTAACTGGAGCACTCGGGCGTGCTATCACAAGTTACCTCTTTTACAGCACACCGTTAACAACTAATAATAATCCCTCTGCTAGGTAGATTGCTTCAAGAACAACCATCATATCCACCGCGAAGTGATGTTCGAAGCCACATGAGTTTCTGGACACCACAAAGTTTTTGCTGCAGAGGAGACCCCATGCTACTGCCCAGAAACTTACAAATGTATGACAATGAGACTTGAGACAATACTGGCGTTGAAATTAGATGCCATGCCTAGGGTACCACCACCTAATAATGTTTCAGTCCTTTGCCAGCATCTTCATGAGTACATCGTTCCACGCATCAATAGGCCCAGGCAAGCACCAGTGGAGGCAGTCATTCTGGACTTGGGCTGTCATGCCCTTCACATAAGGATGGTATGCTCTATAAGGCCCTGAATGTCCATCAGGCCTTAGGAGAGAGAGCTCAAATGTATCGAGCAGTTTCAGACGGTCACCATCGATAGGTCCCTTGTTCGCCACCGCGTTGTCAAACTCTTCTCTCTCAATCCTCCACATTTTATTGTCCATTTCTCTGTCACCGGCCTCCCCTGGCTTGAATGGGGCCGTCCTGTTGCAAGTCCCGCCACTGAACCACTCGCCGTTCTCAAAATGTGAAGGAGCCCACGTTCTGTAGAAGACTACTGGCTTGTGAGGTGAAGATGTGATGAACTGGAAGGCCACCTTGAGTGCCCTGCGGAAGGAGTACTCTGGAGGCCTCTCTTTCAGGGTTTTGTTCTGGCAGGAGTGGCAGCCAATCGCAACTCCATTCTCCCAGTACACTGCAGTTTTGAAGAACCATTGGCCTGTGGATATCACCACGTAATCAAAGCTCTCCCATTGACTAGTCCAATTTTTCTCGAGGACGTCAAGGTGCAGCTGGAGATCAGCAGTAGAAACTCCATCATCGTCCTCAAATATTTTAGCTTTGACCAGGAATGGTGCCCAGATAAGGGAAACCGTGAAATCGTGTGAAGGGAAGTGCCATCTTCTGGATCTGAATGTATCGCCATGGTAGACCTCAGTAGCATCTTCGACCTGCAACAACGACAATAAAGTATTTTGGTCTCATGCAAGTTAGAGATGAAACTCAACAACAGCCACAGGAAAAGAGCATAAAAATTGTACTAGCAGTACTAATAATAATAAAAATAATAGGATAACGCATATCTGCCAAAGCTTTTGCTTTTCAAAAATCATACTACGAAGAATTCATGCAAGCACTATTATCTACAAAAAGCACTAGACAATATATTTACAATCAGGTGTTGAGAAAAGCATGTCCTGAGCTCATCAAGCCATCTTCAACAACAACAACTATCTTGTGTGTTCCACAATAATACTTGTTCCTCACTAGCTAGTGTATCAAAGGATGTTTCTGAGGGCATCCCTAGTGTGGCGTCGAACCAAACCGACACAGTTCGATCATGTGAAGTAAAATTTGCAAGCTCCAGTGTCACATCTGATCATCACTTCAGAAAAAAAAAATGACTGCTCATCATGGATCTCCACACCCTGTGCACTGCCTAACGTGGATTACGCGCAGTATTTTAATAGCCAGGATGCCACATGGTTCGACTATTCTGCGGAGTCTGATTTTGGCAGCAGTTGATGCCCCTAGTGTGCTCTGTTCGCTTAATCAAACTTTACTTTCCCTCAGTTCAATTTGAGGAGTACACTAGAGCTGCTCTGAAGTGCAAAAGTTAGGGATGTAAACACAAGTTATGTCTAATCAAAAGGTGGTAGGTGCACAATTTCCGGGGCTCCCACTGAAGTTGCAGTGAGAAATGCAAAGATAGAGACTGAACACCTTGAAGGATCTTAGTATGGTGATATGTCAGATCAATATCTTCCCTAGTGACACAGGTGAAAGAAATTATCTTTCATCTTATTTACAGAAAAAGCATCGCCCTTAGGCTGCTGTGTCTTTACCTTCTTCCTTTTTTATCACTAGTCATATGCATTATACTAAAACCAAATAATAAAAAAACATCATGGAAGCCTGGACTGTTCTTCATGTCTATTTATAGTTAATATAAGGAATTCCTTGTACATGCATATATGAAAGAAAAATATATAACAGGAGAAAGTGATGTAGTAAAAGCACATTGCACATTGCCAGAGAAAAATGAACCAGACATATATATATCAGCACGTTCAAGGTTAATATACGTGTAAAAAATTATGGAATACCTTAGAAAGAAGACAAAGCAATGACTGGACATGGTTGCGAAGGATGGAATCACCAATAAGTGCCCAATGCTTGCCCTTCATGCCATCCAGAAACTTCTTGCCATCAAATGGCGGTACCTCACAACCATATGGCTTCCATCTCCAATTGAGATAATCTGTGTCAGGCCTTCCATTTGTCATACAGTTCTGAGGAGACTCAATGAAGCGGCAGCTTGCATTAGTGTAAGCTGGCCCTGATGAATTGGGAACCCACTCACCATGGAAAAGATCACAACTTTCTGCATGCACAGAAGAAAATATGTAGACAACTACTGATGAAAGAACTAAAGAAAAGTTTTTTGGCCAAACACATGAAAATGAAACTGGACCACACAATTTAGTTCCTTAAGAAGATTAAAAATACTTTACAAGTTACTGTAGTTTTGCATGGAGAGAGCATGGGCTGGTGATAACATATGAAGCCAAGAAACTGTATAGATTATCCAAATCTAGGCTAGGGTTCCCTCTGAAGTTTGTTCTCAAAACAAGAAGAAAAAAAAACCCCATACCTTTACCTTTGTTCAAGCTTTGGATGATAGGGGTTCCTCAAGGAATTTGAGCACAGGAATATTATGGAATTTGTTCAAATTCTAACTAAATCCTACGGATTTAGGTCCAAGCAAGATCTTTAGTGTTTAACACTTAACTAAGTTTGAAAATATTTTCCAACCTTAACAGATTTCCCCCAATGCAATGATTTACTGCCTGAAATGCCAACTAGTCCTTCTCAAGTAAAACATGGGCTAATCAATGATTGCATCTCAGCCTCTTAGGGGCATACCTTCTGGTTTTGGGGAACCGTTCTGAAGCGGTCAAAGTAAATGTCGTTCTCAAGTAAAATATAGGCTAATCAATGATTGCATCTCAGCGTCTCAGGGGCATACCTTCTGGTTTTGGGGAACCTTCCTTCTTGTCTAAAGCTGTAAGAGGTTCTGAAGATGTCAAAGTAAAAACCGCATCATCCATTTCTGTTAAGCACAAGCGATATATTAGAACAAGACAAGATCCAAACAAGCTGGAGTAGTTATTTGTTAATATGTCTATTGGAAATAAAAAGAGAAGAATAAAAAGGTGTGTCACACTCGAAGACAAGAAACGGCGCATTAGTCTAATCCCATTTGAAGATCTACTTAAGAGGGCTTGTTTGGCTGCACTCCAATCCACCTTAATCAGCCCACGTGGATTGGGGTGGATTGGAGTGCAGCGAAACAAGGCCTACTCAGATTCTTATGTGGAACCCCAAAGCAAAAGTCTCCCACCTTTCCATACAGGATGTAGAAAAGACTGCCCGTATCTCTAAACTAATGGAAGTGACCAAACAAACACCTCTATCCTCCCTCTGCAGTCTGCTGATCTCTTGATCAAATACATGCAAATAAGAAATGCCACAGAAGTGGAATGTAGAAGAACATTCATCTAGAGTCAAACAGAACAAGTACATAATAAATTAAACACAAGTAAAGCCAGGGGATCCTCGCATTCCCCCTGAGGATTAAACAATTCAAGATACTCCGTCAGCAGAGCATGTTAAATTAATATGGAGCACTAGCAGATCTTTGGAGCAATTCTGAGAATCCTCGGATCTTTTAATAATTTAGCATGCACATTTAATATCCTTTTTGGTGTTTAACCAACAACCCATTGTGTAAGCATTTCCATTCCACCGTAGTTTCCGCATTTGAGATATTAGCCGCTGCTCTTCTCCGGCTACAATCATCAACACTCCAGATTCTGGTAACACCCTGATCATCTTTCCATGTTGCAAATCCCAACCAAACCCCATGGCAAAGCGTGTGTCCGGGAGAAAGCACGGCTAAATCTTTTCTCTTGTTTCAAGAAACGACAAAAAAGGAAGAGTGCCATAAAAAAAGACATTACAAGAAAATGCTCACCGACGGAAGGAATCCCGCCGCCGCCGGTTCTTTCCATCCCCGGCGCCGGAAATAGACGAGCGGCCCCCTCTGGCGCGGCGGTGGGCGGCAGGAGGTAGGCCGCGGGGCCGACCAGCAGCCGCAGTGCGAGGCCCGCGAGGATCACGAACAGTACCAGCTTCAGCGCCGACCCGGAGGCCACCACCGCCTTCCTCTGCTGCGCAGGCGTCGGCGGCCACTCCATCCCCATCTCTCTCGACACGCCCCGACCGAAATGATCTCGGAGCCGGGCAACAGCGCCACCAGGGACTGCCAGCCGGATTGGCACTGCAGGTATGCAGCTGCGATTGTCGTGTCGGTGCCTCCGCGCTCGGCGGTGACGGTGGAAATGGTTGGCAGGTTTGGACTACTATATGGAGTTATGTGGGGTCCTGCTCCTGCCTGGTCTGTGACAAAGCTGGCTGCCAACAAGGAGCGCCTGCTTTTGCACTGGGCGCCCAGGGGCTTTCACCGGACGCGTCACGCACGCGTGCTTGTTGTGAAAGCGTACTTTGGTTCTGTTCTATTTGGGGGTGTATAAATCCAAGAGTAAAGTTCATAGACGTTACAAGATCGTATGGAAATGTTCGGATAGTAATAATAAAATAAATTATATAAGTTCTCAGTAATTTACGAGACGAATTTATTAAGCCTAATTAATCCGTCATTAGCACATGTTACTGTAGCACTACATTGTCAAATCATGGACTAATTAGACTTAAAAAAATTCGTCTCGCAAATTGATTGTAATCTGTGTAATTAGTTTTTTTATTTATATTTAATACTCCATACATTTATCCAAATATCCGATATGGTAGGGACTAAACTTTAGAGGAGGAACTAAATGAGGCATTGGTTTTCCACGTACACTATCCGTCCTAAAATATATGTCTTTTTCGCTTCCCGAAAAACAATTTTAATAAAATATATATTAAAAATATTAATATTTATGATACATAATTAGTATTCTTGAAAGATCTTTGAATCTAGTTTTTTAATAAATTTATTTGGAGAGTTGCACGTATTTGCTATAAATCAAATTAAACTTGTGGCACGGAAAAAAAAAACAACAGATAATTTAGGACATAAGAGTACGAGAGAGCAAGCCGGAAGTTGTGTAAGTTCTCATCTTGTGAATGTGAAGTCAGAAGATATGATCTGCATGATATTACACGGGAGAAGGATCATGGGGCCAAATGTTGACAGTGCGTTCTACGTGCAACAAATGATCACATATAATTGTAGGTTATCTCAATGTAGGGATGTATGTATTGTATTGTTGCATACATATTGTTTATAATTACCGGACTTCCTACTTCTCAGTCACCTGAGATTGAAGAAAGTGTTCAAGCGACGGCTTCTTCTTCCTCTAGGTTAGAACACTACTAGAAATATTCACTTCTACGATGATCAGTTTTCGTCACTGAAAAAGCCAAATTCATCATAATTTTAGTTTTATGATGAAAAATGGTTCATTATAGAAGTCGCGTCATTCTTACAATTCTATGAGGATTCTAGAAATCATTATAGAATTGGATAGATCTATGACTAAAACTGATCGTCTTAGAACTGCTTTAGCATGCGTGGCAGGGGGCAGCTGAAAGGTCCATGTTTAGTTTTGGTAATTGAGTGACAGCCTTAGGTGGACTAATGTGTTTAAGTGAGATACACATGATATTAGTCCACAGATACATGTGTGTGAGCAACATATGTCATGACGGTGATGATGACTCAAAGATGTTGCAAAGCTCACACATGTGATGATGAAGGAGCTTATTGCACATGAGACATGGCATGGACTCATGTGATCAAGGTGGAGAAGATCAAGACATGACTTGGCTTGATGGACTAGTTGCAAGCATGAAGGTACGTCAAAGGCTTTGGAGCGATGGACCGCGTGGCGGTGAAGCTTGAGCAAGACTTAGCTCCGATGGACGAAGGCTATGGTGAAAAGCAAGTGAAGTTAAGATCGATGAATCAATATGATCACGTGATGATATGAAGTGGATCATATCATTGTTGATTGTGGTGTTGCATCGACATTGGAGGAGATAGAATAAAATGCGCAAGGCAAAGGCATAACCTAGGGCATTTTATTTCACCAGTCATAGGTGAGAAGAGAAATTTATGACCGGGTTTAGGATAGATGGTCATACTATCAAAAGGGACAAACTTGTTTGCATATCGGTCATCTAGTGCCACTCGAGTGATCTAACTTTGCATCGTCGCTAGTATCGAGTGGCATGGCAGTTGAGTGGCTAATCCTTTGGAAAATATTTATGAAAAGCTAACACACATGCACAAGATGTTGTACACTTAGTGGTGTTGGCATATTTGCAAAGGTGAAGAAGTTGGTGAAGAAAATGAGTTGAATGCGCTGGTCACGGGGTGATCGTACGCGTCCGACAAGAGGACCGGACGCGTCCGGTATCTTCACGACGTGACCGGACGCGTCCAAAATCTATACCGGATGCATCCAGTATTCTAGCCAAGCGTGATAGTGTTGACGAGATGACCGGACTCTGGGTCGTAGCAGTGACCGGACGCTGAGCAATCAATGTTTAGAGTCCGGTCGAGGTGACGTGGAGCGCGAGTGTTGGTCTAGAGAGGACCGGACGTAGGTGTGCATCCGGTCGGCCACACCGGACACAGCAGGCCGTAGTTGAGCGGCTCTAGGAGCTCTCTGGACTCGACCAGACACGTCTAGTCGCCACACCGAACGCGTCCGGTATGAACCAGCAAGTCTCGGGTTTTCAGCGCTATAATTGATCGGATGCTGGGAGCGTCCGGTCCAGTGTGACCGAACATGTCTGGTTGGTCTAGAGCGGCTCTAGGAGCTCTCTGGACTCGATCGGATGCTGCGTCTCCCGTGTCTGGTCGTTTTCTAACGGCGCGTCCGATCACGTGGTATTACTATGCGCAGTGATAGATGTTGGGCATGAATGGCTAAATAATTTGAAAGGGACATGTGGCGGTTAGGCTGCGACCAGACGCAGCGACCGGACGCATCCGGTCACCACACCGGACGTGTCCGATGCACACGACCTGCGCGTCCGGTCGTCCTGAAAAACTCCCAGTGAAAGGGATAACGGCTATTTTAGCCCGTGGGGCTATAAATAGAAGTGGTGGTCGGCCTTTGGCCGAGAGCTGATCACACTAGAGCCTTGGTGGCTTATGTGGTGATGCTTGGGAGCCCTCTAACTCACTCTAGCTTGATAGTGTTCATCCGATTGAGTGAGTGAGCGATTCTAGTGCGATTGCATCGTGAGGTTGCATCGAGTGGCACTAGGTGGTCGCCTTGTAAGCCAGTGGTGCTTGTTACTCTTGGAGGTTGCCACCTCCTAGACGGCTTGGTGGTGGTCTCCGTCGAAGCCCGCAAGAAGCTTGTGTGGTGCTTCAGAGAAAAGCTTTGTGAGGGGCATTGTGTTCGCCCCGCGGGAGCCGCGAAGAGCAAATCTAGTTGAGCGTGTCATTGAGCTACCCTCACTTTCGGGGTAGGTTCTTGCGGTGCCCGACGTGTGGGCTTGGTGGGTGATGCCAACTAGACGCCGAACCACCAAGTGAGCGGTCGACACAACGGGGACGTAGCGTGTTGGCAAGCACGTGAACCTCGTGAGAAAATTCACCATGTCAACATTGTTCTTCCCGTTGATTTGCAATCCCCTTACACAAGCTTTTAATTACTTTCATATATATATTGTGCTTGTGTAGTTGCTCTGGTAATTGGTTAGCTTGTGTAGCTCACTAGTTACCTTCTTTCTTGTGTAGCATAGAAGTAGCTCCCTTGCGTGACTAATTCGGTTTGAGTAACCTTGTTAGTCACATTGCTTAGTTTGTGTAGATAAGTATTTACGCTCTCTAATTTAGCATTAGTTGCCTTGTGTATTGAGCACTGCTAGTGAGCTTAGGAGCTTTGTCCTTTTACTTACTAAAATTGTGTAGGAGCTCCCCAGTGTGCAAAATACTAGTGGCATAGGTTTGTGTGACCTTGCTCCTAGAATTGGTTAGGTGAACTCTAGCTAGCCCGACATCTTAGTTGCTTAATTAGGATCTTTGCAAGGTGCTAGAGAACATAGATAGAGGGGTGTAGTCTTAGCTAGATCTATTGTTTTAATTCCGCATTTGTTTTGGTTAGCCGATGCGATTAAGTTTTAGAAATGACTATTCACCCCCCTTCTAGTCTGCCATCTTGACCCTACAAGTGGTATCAAAGCGAGGTCTCTTATTTGTGGTCTTTACCGACCCGAGAGGATGGTGAACTTTGGGCTATATGTTGTTTGTGACTCACACATTTTTGATGGCACACACTATGCATAGTGGAAACGTCATATGCTTGATCATTTCTATGAATTGGGTCCCAAGGCATGGTGGATCATTGTTGTTGGTTTTTCTCATGATGCCTTGGACAAGGACAACCTAACCCACGCATCGACATTGGAGGAGATGGAATGGAATGTGCAATGCAAAGGTATAACCTAGGGCATTTCATTTCGCCGGTCATATGTGAGTAGAGAAGTTTATGACTGGGTTTAGGATAGATGGTCATACTATCAAGAGGGGTAAACTTGTTTGCATATCGGTCATCTAGTGCCACTCGAGTGATCTAACTTTGCATTGTCACTAGGAATGAGTGGCATGGCAAGTTGAGTGGCTAATCCTTTGGGAAATATTTGTGAAAAGCTAACACACATGCACAAGATGTTCTACACTTAGTGGTGTTGGCACATTTGCAAAGGTGAAGAAGTTGGTGAAGAAAAGGAGTTGAATGCGCTGGTCACGGGGTGACCAGACGCGTCCGACATAAGGATCGGACGCGTCTGGTATCTTCATGACGTGACCGGACACGTCCATTATTCTGGCCAAGCGTGGCTGTGTTGACAAGGTGATCGGACTCTGGGTCGTAGCAGTGATCAGACGCTGAGCAATCACTGTTTAGAGTTTGGTCGAGGTGACGTGGAGCGCAAGTGTTGGTCTAGAGAGGACCGGATGCAGGTGTGCGTCCGGTCGGCCACACAGGACGTGTCCAGTTGCAGTTGAGCGGCTCTAGGAGCACTCTAGACTTGACTGGATGCAGCGACCAAATGTGTCTGGTCGCCACACCGGACACGTCCGGTATGAACCAGCAAGTCTCGGATTTTTAGCACTATAATTGATCGGACGCTGCGAGTGTCCGGTCCGGTGTGAACGGACGTGTCCGGTCAGCCTAGAGCG